AAGATGCATGCTTGGTGACCTGAGTTTGATCCTGGGACCACGGTGGAGTGAGAAAAATAATTCTTGAAAGTCGTCCTCTGACCTGCGTGTATGCTGTGGCATAACTCACACACGACAGATTAATGTAAAAACAAAGGAAAAGAATTTTCGTGGGGTGATGCTGCAGTTGTAGCTCAGTAGAGTGCCTGCCTAGCATGCATGAAGCCCTGGATTTGATTCCCAACACCATGTAAACTACACACGTGTTACATGCCTGGAATCCTAGCACTGAGGAGATGGAGGCAGAAAGATCACAAGTCAAATTATCCTTGACAACATTCAGAGTTTGGGGCCAGTATGTGAGGCGCTGTGTTTTAGCACTGGTGCCGGTCTCCAAAAATGGCTGTGAACGGTAGTTCTGGCATGGTAACCTCCTTTCTCTTTGGCCTTGGTTACAGCATTGCTCTGAGATGGCGAGGGAGAGGGGGTTACAGTTAGAACGCAGACTCTGGTATCCTGCTCCAGCACCGCAATAAAGTAACTGTCCAAACCAGGCTTAGCTAGCTCTCCGTCTCCTGAGTGCCTCTATTTTTCTTTCTGAGTTCAGTGTTCTCCCATTTTCAGTGGAAATCGTGGTAAATGAAGCTCAATAGTAACAGCTGTGTCAAGTCTGTGCCAGCCCTAGGTATAATCCTCAGTACCACAAATAAGTATGCGCGATGGGTACAGTAGCACAATTCCAGTGCTGGCAAGGCAGAGGTAGGAGAATCAAGTTCAAGGGCAGCTTGGGCTGCCTAGTGAGACCCCTTTTCAAGAGAAAAGGGGTAATAAAAATGCCATTTAAAACTACTCAGTGTATATAAAATTTTATGAAGTGTTTCCCATCTGTCATCTGAGAAGAAAACTTGGAACGTTTCTGCTCTCCTTTATCGGGGGTCCTGAGCTTCCTGCCAGGGAGGCAAGTCTGAGCCTGGCTGAGGTAATGGAACTTATCTGCATCATTCCCATCATTCCTATGTCCTTTATTCCAGGTCCAGCTGCAGTTCCTCTGGACGTTCGAGAAGATGTTCATCCTCTTCATCATCTTCATCCTCTTCTTCCTCATCATCCAGTTCCAGAAGCCGTTCTCCCTCTCTGTCCCCTCGCAGAAGTGACCGAAGGCGGCGGTGAGCATGAGCAAATGTTTGAGTGCAGTGCATCTAGGATGCACGTGTCTGAGAGTTCTGAGTCTTGAATTGTGTCTGGGGGCTGATGGGACTTTTCTTGTCAGGTACAGCTCTTACCGTTCAAATGACCATTACCAAAGGCAGAGAGTGCTGCAGAAGGAGCGTGCAATAGTGAGTAGAGAAGCCAGGCATGGGAGGAGGGGTTGACCTGTTCCAAGAGCGCACTTATCAGCAGCTGCAGCTCTGGCTCCCAGAGTGACTTTTTCCTTGTCTGACACAGGAAGAGAGAAGGGTGGTCTTCATTGGGAAGATACCTGGCCGCATGACTCGATCAGAGCTGAAACAGAGATTCTCTGTTTTTGGGGAGATTGAGGAGTGCACCATTCATTTTCGTGTCCAAGGGTAAGCTTGCTCTTTACGAGGGTAGGATGTTTGTTCTGTTATGTTCATATCCTTGATGCTCCTGTCTTTCTGTATTCTGTTGTGCTGGACTGTGTGGGGTCTAGAGGGTTGACCATTGGGGAAATTAGAAGCACCTGTGTACTCTGGGGTGCCAAGTCTGCTTCATAACCTGTGTGCAAATGGCTCACCCTCTCCACTAGTGACAACTATGGTTTCGTCACTTACCGTTATGCTGAAGAGGCATTTGCAGCCATCGAGAGTGGCCACAAGTTGCGGCAGGCAGATGAGCAGCCCTTTGATCTCTGCTTTGGGGGCCGCAGGCAGTTCTGCAAAAGGAGTTACTCTGATCTTGGTGAGTGTTGGAGGAGGGCTTGAGACTTGGACATGTGTCATCCCCTCTCCAGAAGGGTTTCTCTGTAGCTTTGGAGCCCATCCTGGAACTAGCTCTTGTAGACCAGGTTGGCCGCGAACTCACAGAGGTCCACCTGCTTCTGCCACCTTAGTGCTGGGATAAAAGGCGTGTGGCACCACAGCCCAGCTTCTCAAATATTTGAAAGTAAACCTAGTACCATTTGACATACAAAGACCCCAAAGGAGTGTGGTAAGAGGGAGTGTACTCTCCCACACCTCTGTACAAGCAGGGTAGTTTTGCTCCATCTGCTACTGGTATGAGCCATGGCTCCATTTGAAAACCATGTACTTGAGAACTGTGGTAAGAGACCTAAGCATTTGTTCCTCTTTGCTCTGTAGACTCCAATCGGGAAGACTTTGATCCTGCTCCCGTGAAGAGCAAATTTGATTCTCTTGACTTTGATACATTATTGAAACAGGCCCAGAAGAACCTGAGGAGGTAACCCTGGGCACTCCTCTCCCACCCATTTTCTCTGGAGGTGCCCAACCTCCTCCACTCCCCTCCCCCACTCTAGGGGGAGAGCTGCTAGTGTGGAAATGACTGTTTTATAAATAAATGGAAAAAAGTTAAATAAAAATGTGTTAAAACCGGGATTTTTAAGTGGTATTTTTTTTTAAATAACAGATATTGAACAAATTAACTTGCATTTCTAGGTAATAAACATGAACTGTGGAGAATTTCCAAGTGTTGTTCTTTCTTTTGTGTGTGTGCTAAAGTCACGTGTACTTAGAACTTTTATGAACACATTTAGGTCATGTTTACCTTCATCAAGTTCCTAGGAGCTCTCTTCTGGTAAGGTGTAAAATCACATTGGATTTGAACTGGATAGATGAGCACTGCCTGCTCTTCCAAAGGTCCTGAGTTCAATTCCCAGCAACCACATGGTGGCTCACAACCATCTGTAATGAGATCTGGTGCCCTCTTCTGGATTGCAGGCAAAACACTGTATACATACTAAATTAAAAAAAATCACATTGGTTTTAACTTAGTTTCTCAGGTCTGTCACATAAGTCAAAAAGGGAAAAACACTTCTCAAAGACATTTGAAATACTTATTTATGCCTTGGCAGTCAGTGTGTCCTAGTCTGTCCTTTAGCTTGCCTTGAACATCTGATGATCCCCTAAGTGCTGGGATAACAGACATATGTTAGAATATCTTGTTTCTATGGTGCTAGGAAGTGAACCCGGAGCATTGTGCATCTGGGGAAAGCCCTATCTTCTGTATGTGGGTGTATGTGTGTATGGAGGCAATAGGACAGCTTCTTGTGTAACCCTTGGGAATGCTGACCGCCTCATTGTCCTGGAGCTCGCTAGTTAGCCTAGTCTGGAGTCTTTACCATCCCACCAGCCGGCTCCCAAATCACAACACAAATTATTACAAAGGTTTGGCAGATAATTTAGGCTTGTTTTTAACTAGCTCATGTAACAACCCAGTTTTATTATGTGCTGCCCTGAAGCTCGTTTAGCTCATCTACGTACTGTTCCTCCTGCTTTCTTGCTTGCTCTGTCTCCACCCTTTCAAGTGTCCTCTGTGCCTGGAAATCCTGCCTAGCTATTGGCTATTTATCTTTTTATTAAACCAAAATGACAGTAGTCAGTAGTGGTAGGACACCTTTAGTCAGGAGACAGATAGGGAGTCTGGTCTATGGAGTGAGTTCCAAGACAGAGAAAGCCTGTCTCTGGGATTAAATGCGTGCAGATTTTAAACTTTTTTTTAAAGTATTTATATGGATACAGTATTGTGTCTGCCTGCAAGCTAGAAGAGGGCACCAGATCTCATTACAGATGGTTGTGAGGCACCATGTGGTTGCTGGGAACTGAACTCCAGGACCTTTGGAAGAGCAGGCAGTGCTCTTAACCACTGAGCCATCTCTCTAGTCCGGAACTATCTCTGTAGACCAGGCTGGCCTCGAACTCACAGCTATCCACCTGCCTCTGCCTCCCAAGTGATAGGAGTAAAGGCATGCGTCACCACTGCCCGGCTCAAATTACTTTTTTTTTTTTTTAATACATATATATAGTTAGAACCATCTCTGGAAAAGAGGGACATAATGGTTCTCTTGAGAAAGGCATGCCTGTTTTGAGGAAAGAAAAAGGGCGTCCACAGGAAATGGATCTTTACTGCTTCCTGAGGGAAGACTAGTGTAACCTGGAAACAGCTGATACTAGAGTTAGACAGAATTCAGTGACTTCTGACTTACGAAGAAAGCATTATTTTTAGGTATAATAGAGTATTGCTGTTTGATTCAGGTTTTATACATGATGCATGATCCCTTTTTCTTTTTTTAAAATGTTTATTATGTGCTTAGTATTCTGCTTGCAGCACCAGAAGGGGGCCCCAAATCTCACTACAAATGGCTTGGAGTCCCCACGTGGTTGCTGGGAATTGAACTCAGGACCTTTGGAAGAGCAAAGGCTCTTAACCTCTGAGCCATCCCTCCAGCCCCCATGATCCCTTTTTCTTTAACAGCTGTCCCTCCCCACTCCATGGAATTGTGTAACCTAAGTATGATTGACAGGCAGTTGGGGGGGGGAGGGTATTAACACCATTGTCACCACAATGAGCAACTTTTAAGGATCCTCTTATGATTTGAGTCTGGTGATAACACTTGGGTGTGAAGGTGACAGAAGAGAATGACAATGGCAGAAGAGAAGCCATTGTCAGTGGGAATGTGACCTGTAGGGGACACCTAGAAAGGTGAAAAAGGTTGGAGTCCTGCAGTCCATTCATTATTGTGGGATCTGAGCAGCAGCCGGTGCTGTGAGAACTACTGTGGAAAAAGATCCATTCAGCAAAGATAATGCGCGGGAAATCGCAAGTTTTCCCGCCACAGAAGGGAGCGTGACCTCTGACGCAAACGCTCCGCCTTCGTAGTGGGCGGCCCACGGGCTCCGCCCTTAGCAGGATGGCGACGCACGTGAGACCGGAAAGACCTTATGGACGTCGTCGCCTGGGTCCCGCCTCCGAGGTTGAGTGGGAGCCGCCTCGGCGAGCCCCACGCTTCCGCCGCGCGACGTGATGACGACACCGGGCCCGCCCCCTGCCCTGGTCGTGCTTTGGAGTTCCTAAGTCGTGCAGCGTGCGCGACGGTAGTGACGCGTATTACCGGGAGTATGGCGGATACCGGCTTGCGCCGCGTGGTTCCAAGCGACCTTTATCCACTCGTGCTCGGCTTTCTGCGTGATAACCAACTTTCTGAGGTGGCCAACAAATTTGCAAAAGCGACAGGCGCTGTGAGTCTTGGGTTTGGTCGCGGACTGGGGTGGGTCGGCTCCAAGAATTTCTAGGCCTTGACATGCTTAGGAGGCAAGGAGAAACGGTGTGGGGTCTGTCAGTCTAATGTCCGCGAAGCCTTTCTGCCCCCCTTTTCAAAGCTTGAGGCCTCGGCGTCTCCTCCCACCATGTCTGACTAGCGAGTCTTGCAGCGACGGCAGGCGTGGGTCCCGCGTGGCCCAGGTCATGTGGCTGACACCATACGATGAGCGAGCGCTAGGTCCCGCTGAGAGCATTGGATTGGCGGTGCTTGGGTCTTCTGGTGTATTTTTTTGTTGGTTGCAAATTAGCCTGAGACTCGACGATAAAGTCATGAAGGCTAGGATTTTATTTTATTTTTGCAAGGGAAGAATTGAATGAGTGTAGGGAGAGGCTACTTTCTGTAGGAGGAGTGAACATCCTTCCCTGCCAGTTTCCTAAAGCTTCCCTGAGCGTGGAGCTTTAGGTAGTGAAATAAAACAAATGTAGGCTTTGGCCAGGCTCTGCGATTTTCTACATATATGATCCTGGCAGCCTTTTGTTTGGAACAGGTTCTGTATAACTCTTGTGTAGGAGAGAATGGCACTGAACTTCTCTTCCTCTTGCCTCACCCTCCTGGTGCTGAGATACAGAATGTATTAGGATGTGAACATAGCAGGATTTCATTTACTTTACAGACTTTGTTGTTTTATTTTAGGTTTTTCTTTTTTTCTTTCTTTTTAGTTTTTCGCGACAGGGTTTCTCTGTAGCTTTTGGAGCCTGGCCTGGCTCTTGTAGACCAGGCTGCCCTCGAACTCAGAGATCCGCCTGCTTCTGCCTCCCGAGTGCTGGGATTAAAGGCGTGTGCCACCACCGCCCAGCTGTTCTTTAGTTTTTCAACAAAGGGTTTCTTTGTGTAACCTGGCTGTCCTGGAACTAGCTTTGTAGACCACGTTGTTCCTGACTTACTGGGATTAAAGGTGTGCGCCACCACGTCCAGCTTAATTTACAGAGTTTTGATGCATGAGATGCACCGAGAGAAAATGCACGAAGTAGTGAACCCAGTATTAGTAGACAGTAAGCACGAGATGAGGGACAGCTTTCCGGGCGATTTGAATCCATGTAAGAGCAAGGTGAAACGACGATGTGAAATGTTTAGAGTCTACTCAAGGAGAGCTGTACCGTTCATGGAAACACCGTGAGGAGCTGTAGACCTGTGGTCTTTTTCCAAGGATGGAACCAAGACTAAGAACTTAGGCTGCTTTTGCTTTGCTTTTATTTTTGAGATAATGTCTCCCTGTGTAACCCTGGCTAGCCTGGAATTTATGTGCCGACTAGACTGGCCTCAAAGAAATGCTCCTGCCTCTGACTGTTGGAATTAAAGGCTGCACACCTGGTCTGCCTGTTTGTCTTTTCCTCCCCCCCCCCCTTGTTTCTGCAGACATTCCTGGCCTAGAACTTGGTTGGTAGGCCTTTTGGCCTTATTGATCCTCCTGCCTTAGATTCTGAGAATCTTGGGTTAAGGTGAGACCTTTTGAGGTTGACTGCTTCTTTGTATGAGTAGGATGAGGGGAACTTTGCTGCAAAGGGAAGGGATCAGATCAGTTTCACAAGGGAGTTTCTTCAGCCCGGACAGCCTGGCATGTCAGCTCTTAACTGTTGCCCTTTTCTTCTTTTGAACAGGGTTTCTCTGTAACAGCTCTGGCTCTTCTGGCCCTCCTGAACTCACAGAGACCCGCCTGGCTCTGCCTCCTGAGTGATGGGATTAAGGGCATGTGTCACCATTGCTTGACTCTTCCGTCTCTCGCTCCCTCCCTTTCCTTCTCTCTTTCACACAGGATCTCTATGTACCTGTGCCAGTCCTGGGACTCACTATTTAGACCAAGTTAACTCAAACGCAAGAGATCTTCCTATCTCTCCCTCCCAAGTGCTAGGGTTAAAGGCATGTGCCACCACACCTGGTACCTTTTAAAAAGTCAGTTAAGGGGCTGGAGAGATGGCTCAGCGGTTAAGAGCACTGCCTGCTCTTTCAGAGGTCCTGAGTTCAATTCCCAGCAACCACATGGTGGCTCACAACCATCTGTAATGGGGTCTGGTGCCCTCTTCTGGCCTGCAGGCAGACACACAGGACAGAATATTGTATACATAATAAATAAATATTTTTTAAAAAAAGTCAGTTAATTGCTGGGCGGCAGAGGCAGGTGGAGCTCTGTGAGTTCAGGGCCAAGCTGATCTACAGAGCTAGTTCCAGGACAAGCTCCAAAACTACAGAGAAACCCTGTCTCGAAAAACAAGAGAGAGAGAGAGAGAGAGAAGTCAACTAATTAAACCTGCAGTGGTGAACATTAGTACAGGTGCCCGCAGAGACCAGGAATGTCAGAACTCCTGGATCTGAAATTAACAGGTAGTTGTGAGTCTCCTGGTGGGTAGTCGAGAATGAGCGCAGGTCCTCTAGAAGAGCAGTGTGTTCTCTTCACCACTTAGCCGTCAATATTCCTTATCAACATTATTAATTGCTGAAATCTTTCTAAGACTTTGAAAAGTATGGTTGAAAAGGCTTGGGAGTAGATTATATATTAGAGGAAGCCCATTTTTATGCTCACAGCCAGGCGATATGTGAGTGAACTAAGTTGAGAAAATCTTATGCCATCCATCCATGTCAAGTTGAGTAAGTAATAGCATAGCTTTTTTTTTTTTTTTTGAGACAGGGTCTTCTTAGAAAGCCCTGGCTGTCTATAACTCCATGTCCTATAACCAGGCAGGTCTTGATGAAAGAATAACACAGAATCATGCCATTTCTTTAATTCTTGTAGACACAGCAGGATGCCAATGCTTCTTCCCTCTTGGACATCTATAGCTTCTGGCTCAAGTAAGCTTTCGTTGTTATACTTGGGCTGTTTTCTCCCCTTAGGTGGGCTGGGCTGTGTTCCCTTTTTTTGAGAAGGTTCTGATCCCTTAGAAGTAAGCCTGATCTAAATCAATAGGTCCACCAAAGCCCCAAAGCAGAAGTTACAGTCAAATGGACCAGTGACCAAGAAGGCTAAGAAGGAGACTTCGTCCAGTGACAGCAGTGAGGACAGCAGTGAGGAAGAAGACAAAGCCCAAGGACCTCCAGCAAAGAAGGCTGGTAAGGCGCTGACGGGGTTGGGGGCGGTGCTTCAGGAAGGCATTTGACACCTGCCTGCACAGCAGAGTGATTCTTGTGGATGCCTATCCTTCTATTCAGCTGTACCTGCCAAGCGAACCAGTTTGCCTCAGCATGCTGGGAAGGCAGCAGCAGCCAAAGCGTCAGAGAGCAGCAGTAGCGAAGAATCCAGTGATGAGGAGGAGGAAGAAGACAACAAAAAGAAGAAGCCTGTCCAGGTTTGCAGCTTTCGTTGTAAAGAATTTGGCAATGAACCTAAACTGGGCATCTAGTCTATGGTTGGGGTGGTGGGAGCTGTTCAGTAAGGGATACATTCTGGTTTTTTTTTTTCTTTTTTTTTTTTTCTTTTTTTTTGAAACGGTTTCTCTGTATCTTTGGAGCCTGTCCTGGAACTTGCTCTGTAGACCAGGCTGGCCTCAAACTCACAGAGATCCACCTGCCTCTGCCTCCCAAGTGCTGGGATTAAAGGCCTGTGCCCCCACCACCTGGCTAATTCTGGGGAATTTTGAAGAAGATAAAATTGAGGTCTAGAATGATGGAATCCAAATGTAGGCAGAAATCACCTTTACTCAGGACTGTGTGTTCTTGGGGATATGTAGAGGGCCCAAGAACACAGTTGTTTTGATGGGAGCTATTGACAAGATTGTGAGGAACAGACCAGTGTTAGCGAGTTGTTGAACTTTTTCACTGCTTAGCTCTTTGAGTATTTTATCTTCCTTTTCCTTGCCATTTCAGTGGGTTCTTAAAAAAAAATTAAACACATCTTGGGAGCCTTTTGAGTGCCCAGGTGTTCTTGCTGATTGCTCTGGTGCATGTTTTGTTTTGTGGTGTTATTTTTCTGTTTTTGTTTCTTTCGGGGGGGCGGGGTGTGTTTTTGTTTTTTTATTTTTCAAGACAGGGATTCTCTGTAGTTTTGGAGCCTGTCCTAGAACTAGCTCTTATAGACCAGACTGGCTCCGAACTCAGAGATCCTCTTGCCTCTGCCTCCTGAGTGCTGGAATTAAAGGTGTGCGCCACCACCGCCTGGCATATTTATTTAGTATGTATACAGTGTTCTGCCTGCACACGAGAAGAGGGCACCAGATCACATTACAGATGGTTGTGAGCCATCTCGTGGTTGCTGGGAATTGAGCTCAGGACTTTTGAAAGAACAGCCAGTGTTCTTAACCTCTGAGCCACCTCTCCAGTCCTATTTTGTGGGTTTTTGTTTGAGATAGGGTCTCTGTATAGCACTGGCTGTCCTGGAACCTTCTGTGTTGATCAGGTTGACGTTGAACTCAGATCCACCTGTCTACCTCCTACTTGTTTCAGTAAAGACATTTGCCACCATCTTTGTTTTGTTTTAGCAGAAGGTAGTTAAGCCCCAAGCCAAGGCAGTCAGAACTCCTCCTAAGAAAGCCAAGAGCTCTGAGTCCGAGTCTGACTCAAGCTCGGAGGATGAAACACCGCAGACCCAGAAGCTAAAGACAGCTCCGGCAGCCAAAGCTCAGCCGAAAGCCTCAGCCAAGCCAGGTATTTCTGTCCCCGGGAGGGTTGGCTGGGACCAGTGTCAGATGGGTATGGTTGCCAAATGACAGGTGTTCATCTCCTCTTCGGTTGGTCATGACTGGAAAGGGTTGTCATCTCACCTACCCAGAAAAGGGAAGCAGAAGTATAAGGCGAGCCTGGGAAACCTACTGAGACCCTGTCTCAAAGTTTTAGGAGGGGAATATGAGGCTGGTCATTATTCCAGTACTTGGGATAAGTCTGTGGGAGGGTACTTGCCTCAAATGTGCAAGCCCTGGGTTTAGTCCTCAATGCTACACACATGTGTCAGGCATAGTGCACTCCTGTAATCCCTGCAGCTGAACTGGAATTGCTGTAATTCCCAAGTTCTGGGCCATCTGAAACGGGGGAAGAAATCAAAAACAATTTTATAAAATTTTATGGCTGGGACCAGTATATAAGAAAAGCAGCGGTTTTAGCAAGAAAAACTTTGGTTTTTATTTCTTTTTTGGTTTTTTAATACAAGGTTTCTCTGTAATAGTTCTGTCTGTCCTTGAACTTGCTTTGTACAGCAGGCTGGCCTTGAACTTGCTTGCCTCTGCCTCCCCAGGGATTAAAGGTGTGCATCACTACCACCTGTCAAGAAATTTTTTTTAAATTTGCTTTTTGTGTAGCAACCCATACCATCCTTGGACTGATTAGTCCTTCTTTACTAAAGGGCTAAGTAGCAATTAAGTTCCAGGTCATCCTGTCTCAGCCTCGTGATAGCTAGAATTACAGATACCCAGGGGGAAGATAGATGACTTTAAAAAGAACTTTTAGCCAGGTATAGTAGGGCATGCCTTTAATCTCTGCACTTGGGAGACAAAGGCAGGCAGATCTTTAAGTTCCAGGACAGCCAGACCTGTGTGATAAACCATGTGTGTGTGAGCATGCCCCATATGAATGCAGGGGACTCTGAGACTCGAGCTAGAGGAGCTGCTGAGCCATTTCTCCAGCCCCTTAATTTCTATTTTTGAGAGAAAAAAAAAGTTTAAAAGCCCAGGCTGGCCTTGTATTTGATCCTCCTACCTCTGCTTCCAACTGCTAAGGTTGTGTGTGTGTGTGTGTGTGTGTTACGCACATTTATTTTGTTTGTTCCTTGGGTAAAGTCAGGACTCTGTAGTCCTGTGGCCTTAAACTTGTGATCTTCCTGCCTCAGGCTATCACATGTGGAACTGATGGGCATTCCTTAGCTCAGCTTAGTGGTACACGCCTCCTCTCAGCCTGAGGTTAGACCCTCAGTCGCAGCTGAGCAGATTCCCAGGCTGGGCTGTGTGTGTGATAAGTACTTTATTCCCTGTGAGCAGCACTCACAGGCTGTGTGTTCTTTCCTGCTTTCACTGCCACCCTTACTCCATAAAACAAGTAGTTTCTTATGATGTGGGCTGACTTAGGCTTTACAAGATCTGTGAATAGAGGTTGAAGAGAAAGACTGAGAAAGTGATGTTTAAGTGGCTTATTGTCTGTGAGGTGTATCTGTACATGTCACAGCATGCACATGGAGCTGAAGAGGAGGGACAGCTTAAAGAACTGGTTCTCCTTTTACCACTAGGCTTCAAGTTCAGGCTTGGTGACAAGGGCCTTTATCCACTGAGCCATTTCACTAGCCTCAGAATTGCTAGAGACTCTTAACTCTGCTAACAGGAGCTTTTTTGAAGTCTCATATCTCAATATGGCTTTGTGTCTCAGGTTCACCAGCGAGAGCACAGCCTAAAGCAGCCAATGGCAAAGCAGCCAGCAGCAGCAGCAGCGACAGCAGCAGCGAGGACTCTGAGGAGGAGGAGAAGGCAGCAGCACCCCCCAAGGTCAGGGTTGTGACTGTCGGGTAAAGTGAAGGAGCTACAGGGTGTCTCTCCAATTGGAGTGACTTGTGGGTTTCGGTTTGTTTGTTTTTATTTATTTATTTTTGCTTGTTTTTCAAGACGGTTTTTCTGTAGCCCTGACTATCTTGGATGCTATGTAGGCCAGGCTTGTCTCAGACTCCACCCGCCTCCACCTCTCGAGTGCTGGGATCAAAGTCGTGCGCTATTACTTCAGCTTGATTGAATTATTTGGAAAGTTATTTTCCTCTAATTTAAATTTTTCTCTCAGGTGCAGACTATACCTAAAAAGCAAGTCGTGGCCAAGGCACCAGTGAAAGTAGCTGCCACCCCTACCCAGAAGAGCTCTAGCAGTGAAGAGTCTTCTAGTGAAGAGGAAGAACAGAAAAAACCTGTGAAGAAAAAACCAGGTGATTGGACACTAGGCATCAGGCTGTCGAACGCACCTGTGAAACGGTCCCTATGGCCCAGCAACTGAGAGTGACACACCGTTAGAAATTCTGCTGAAGGGAGTAAGCCCTGTTTCTAGGTAGCGAGAACCAAAGAATTCAAGTACTCACTTTATTTTGTGATGCTAGGGATTAAACCTAGGACTTTATGCATGTTAGGCAGGTTTTGTTCTTAGAAGATACAATCCTGTGTGCATATTTTATTATTTCTGTTACCTGTCTGTTTTAAAGATTTATTTATTTATTATGGGTACAGCACTCTGCCTGCATGTATACCTACACACCAGAAGAGGGCACCATATCTCATTAAGATGATTGTGAGCCACTATGTGATTACTGGGAAATGAACTCAGGACCTCCAGAAGAACAGCCATGTTTATTTGAAATATTTGAGGCCCAAGCTAACCTCAAATTTACAGTGTTCTTCCTACCTTAGCCTTATGAATGTCAGAATTACAGGCATGAACCACCGTGCCTAACTAATGCATGTTTCAAAACTATTCTACCTTTTAAACAGGTCCTTACAGTTCAGTCCCACCGCCTTCTGTTCCTTTGCAAAAGAAGTCCTTGGGAACCCAGTCTCCAAAGAAAGCTGCCGTGCAGAAACAGCCTGCAGAAAGCAGTGAGGACAGCAGTGAGGAGTCTGGTGAGTTCCAGGATGCGGTGGAACTACAGGGATGGGGCAAGGAACACAGAGAAAAATACTCTGCACCTCTGTTGCTTTTGAGTGATGTAAGAGAAAGCTCAGGACTGTGTAAATTGTTACGTTATTTCCATTGCTTTCCTGGTTGGCTTGCAATTCTGGACCTTTCCTAATGTCACAAGTTCTCCCCAGATTCAAGTTCCGAGGAAGAGAAAAAAACCCCTGCTAAAGCAGTCGTCTCCAAGACACCTGCCAAACCAACTCCAGTGAAGAAGAAAGCAGAGAGCTCTTCAGACAGCTCGGGTAATGCTGCCCAACCCTGGGGTCCCTGGGATACTCATTGTTTTGGGTATCCTGCTGTTATGGGGTTCCCCTGAATTTATTTTTGGGGAGCTGTTCATTCTGTCCTTTTATCTAGATTCTGACAGTTCTGAGGATGAAGCTCCTGCCAAGCCAGTCAGTACCACCAAGAATTCCTTAAGCAAGTCAGCTGTCACTCCCAAGCCATCTGCAGCTAAGGCAGCTGTAACTCCTAAGCAACCTGCAGGCAGTGGCCAGAAACCTCAGACCAGAAAGGCTGACAGTAGCTCCAGCGAGGAGGAGAGCAGCTCCAGCGAGGAGGAGAAGACAAAGAAAACTGTGACAACCCCCAAGCCCAAGGTTACTGCTAAAGCAGCACCATCTCTGCCCGCCAAACAGGCTCCTCGGGCTGCAGACAGCAGCTCTGACTCAGACAGTTCCAGCAGTGATGAAGAGGAGAAGACACCTATGCCTCCAGCTAAGAAGGCAGCAGGAGGTGGAACTGCATCCAAACCAGCAGCTGTGAAGAAAGCAGCAGCCAAGAGCAGCAGCTCCTCCGAAGACTCCAGTGAGGAGGAAGAGGAGAAGCCCAAGGGCAAGGGCACTGCTAAACCACAGGCCAGCAAGGCCAATGGCACTCCAGCTTCTCAGAACGGAAAAGCAGACAGGGAAAGCGAGGAGGAGGAAGAAGAGGAGGAAGAGACGAAAAAGGCGGCAGTGTCGGCTTCCAAGTCAGGTCTATATCTGTAGGGTCACCCCCTGGGTTTTATCCTCCATTACTGGGTATACTCAAGGGGGAAGGTAGACAGGGAGACGTTTGCCCCCTGACTTTTGAGTCTGGCTATTGTTTTGCAGGTTCAGGAAAGAAACGAAAGCAGAATGAGACAACAGAAGAAGCAGAGACTCCTCAAGCTAAGAAAGTTAAGCTCCAGACTCCAAACACGTTTCCAAAAAGGAAGAAAGTACGTTGCTCCATAGTGTCCTCATGACATGCCCTTAAACCATAGAGGAAACCCTCAGGCTCACCTTGACAATTGGGCCTGACACCCTGGGGCTGTCAGTCAGCACCATATCTTCTGCTTCATTCTCTAGGCAGAAAAAAGGGCATCGTCCCCATTCCGAAGGGTGAGGGAAGAGGAGATTGAGGTGGATTCACGAGTAGCAGACAATTCCTTTGATGCCAAGGTGAGGGGTGCTGGCTGCTCAGGACCTGGGAGAGAAGGGCAGTTGGGTTTAGGTTGCTGGAACCTCATGGATTCAGATTGCCTTGAAGGGACAGTAGGGGGGGGTGTTGTCTTCTGTGTATTAACCTCTCATTGTTTACCAGCGAGGGGCAGCTGGAGACTGGGGTGAGCGAGCCAATCAGGTCCTGAAGTTCACCAAAGGCAAGTCCTTCCGACATGAAAAAACGAAGAAGAAGCGGGGCAGCTACCGGGGAGGCTCCATCTCTGTCCAGGTCAATTCTGTCAAGTTTGATAGCGAGTGACCTGTGGCCATCTTAGAAAAGGAAGGTGATGTTGAGAGACTGGCCCGTCACCTCCACTGGACCAGAGACTCGGTGTTGTTAGGGGAGGGTCTCAGCAAGGATGGTTTTGAGCAGATCCTGATGTCGTTACAGTTTCCAGGCCTTTTATGTTCCACTTTTGTGTGGGTTTGTTTTGAGTGTTGTCATTGCCTTCCTGTTTTGGGGTCTTCATACTGAGAAGTTTTATATTTTATATTAAATGATTTCTTACAGAGTTTTGTTGTGATCTTCGGAAGTCAGTTCTACAGATTCAAATCTTAGCTATTGCCTAAGACATAGCAAAATGTCACATGGTAAAGATTTTTGTCACCTGGGCGGTGGTGGTGCACGCCTTTAATCCCAGCACTCGGGAGGCAGAGGCAGGTGGATCTCTGTGAGTTCGAGGCCAGCCTGGTCTACAAGAGCTAGTTCCAGGATAGGCTCCAAAACTACAGAAAAACCCTGTCTCATAAAACCAAAAAAAAAAAAAAAAAAAAAAAGTTTCTCCCTGTAGGATTCTACTCACGTGAGTGCACACGTCCACATTTTACCCTTCCTTTCCTCAAAAAGCGGAAATGCGGGCGCTGACTCACTGGGTCTAAGATTGATGCTTTCAGAAGTCAGCATGGATCTACCAGCTTTTGGGGATAAAATTGCTGTTCTTGGAATATAACAGCCTATAAAATTGATAGGCAGTGGTGGCGCACACCTTTAATCCCAGCACTTGGGGGACAGCGGCAGGTAGATCTCTGGGTTTCAGGACAGCCAAGGCTACACAGAAACCCTGTCTGGGGTGGGAGTTAACAGGCAGAATTTTGTGTGATGTGAATATAGCTGTCTTGAGTATTTTGTTTTTAGTAGTTAATATTACATGTTTACAGTTCATCTTGGTTTTGATTTCAGAGCAAGCTTTTCTGATATTGAAAGGCATTTTCAACGACTATTACTGCTATGTATTCTAAGTTCATGACTGTATTTGGTCGTTTTTAACATTGTCACGAACTGAATGACAATACTTAATTACTTCTGTCTTGGTAACAGTGGTGACATGAAATTAGTGTAATTAATTTCTGCATGATTGAAAACCACTGGTCAAGGAAATGGAAATGATGGATTCAAATATAAAATCTTCAGCCTCCAATATCTAGTTGGTTCAGTGGGCACATCACGGGAAACTTGTGAGGCGTAGAGGACCTTACAGAGACAGGCTGGAGAACAGGGAGGTTGGAGGCATCTGAACGGATCATTTCGTCTTGGGTAGTACCTGGGGGTGATTGTGTCTTGCTTAAGTTCATCTTCTGGACTAATTGTTAGTACCTTAGCTGTGGAGTTACTGATGCAGACTAATGGGTACCGCTGGGAGGCATCTTGGATAGTGCGCTTGCCGAGCATCCATGAGACCCTAGTTTGATCCCTGACACTTTAAGTAAATACACAAATGAGCAGAGAGATTCCTGGGCCAAGGGAGTAGATGATAAAGACTTGGAATGAGACCATTGACAGAACTCAGCCGGCACGAGGGAGGGAAGGAAGATCTGACGTGAGGACAGTCCCAGGTTTCACAGATGAAGAGGAAGATGTCAAGAACGGCCTTCCGTGTTCAGTCCACAGTCACCTGATAACTTGTTAGAGTTGGTTTTCTGTGACAGAGAGAATGTGCTGATGTCTGCGTGGCCAGAGCTGTGCGGCTCACTACAAAACAATAAACTGGATGTTTTATGATGTGCTGAGTTATTTTTGTGAGTGTAAGGCCTCAGCTCCACACAGAACAAGGGGCAGGTTTGGGACCTGTTGGGAGTTCATTACAGAGGTTTCTTGGTAGCGGTTTGCCAGAACTTACCCATACTTCTCAGTTACGTTGCTAGGCTCAGCTACTGCACGGTTCAGTTGGGAATTCACAAGATGGCCTATAAACTAAACCTAGCTTGTGCTTTTTGCATTTGCATCTAGGGGTTAAGTCAGCACTTAGGAGGTAGAGGCCAGCCTGGTCTACAGAGCAAGAACCAGTATAGCCAGGGCTACACAGAAACCCTGTCGCACAAAAAGAAGAAAAAGCCTTATTTTGGTCTGGGTGTAGTAGTGTAGACCTCTAATTCCAGGCTAGCCTAGTCTACATAAAAGTTCCAGGTTAGACAATACTACATTAGTGAGACCCTATTTCAAGAAAATACTGGGCGGTAGTGTCGTACCCCATTAATCCCAGCACTGAGAAGACAACCAAATCTACAGAGTGAGTTCCAAGACAGCCAGGGCTACATAGTGAAACTTTGTCTTGAAAAAAACAACTTAGGCCTGGCGGTGGTGGCGCACGCCTTTAATCCCAGCACTCGGGAGGCAGAGGCAGGCGGATCTCTTGAGTTTAAGACCAGCCTGGTCTACAGAGCTAGTTCCAGGACAGGCTCCAAAGCCACGGAGAAATCCTGTCTCAACTAAACAAAACAAAACAAAAAAAACAACTTCCTCTTCCCTCACATCATGACTAATCTGAACATTTTTACTTTAATTTTTTTTTATTTTTAGTTTATGTACATTGGTGTTTTGACTGCATGTATCTGTGAGGGTTTTGATCCATTCGAACTGGAGTAACACAAAGTTGTGAGCTGGGAAGTAGACCCAGGTCCTGCAGAAGAACAGCCCGTGCTCTTGACCACTGACCCATTTCCAGCCCCTATAAAACCTTTTTAAAATTCCACTTGTTGGAGCTGGACATTTGGATCAAACTGCTTTTGTAGAGGACTGGGGTTCAATTCCCAGCACCCACGTGGCGAATGGTTCACAACCCCAGTTCCAGAGGATCCAATGCCCTATTCTGACCTTGGGCACCAGGCATGAATGTGGTACACATACATACATGAAGTTTGTGGGTGGATGGGTGGGGATAGTGCACGTGTGGTCAGACAACAGCTATGAGTCAGTTTTCTCCACCATGTGGGTACTGGTGATTGCATTGGGTCTGCAGGCTTAGGCAAAGTGTCTTTAATTAACCACACTGTTTTTTTTTTTTTTTTTTTTTTTAAAGACTGGGTCTAGACTAATGGTGGTGTCACACACTTGTCTACAAAACTTAAAAAAGACAGGAGCTCATGTAATCCAGGCCTCACTGTAGCTGAGAATGACTGGAGTTCTGGGATTAGAGTGCAATGTACCACATTTTATGTGGTGCTGGAGATCAAAGCCAACTACTCATGAACAGTAGTAGGTTAGCACCCCACCAGCTGAGTCACGTTCTCAGCCCCAGAATAATACTCTTGACCCAAACACAACTGAACTGCTAGGGAAACAATTATTCTAAAGGTGAGTTTTCAGAATTGCAGCTCTGAAGGACCCCTTAAACTTCTGCAGTTAACTGAAGATGCCAGTAGGTGGCGCTCTTACCCACCGCATAGGAAGCCTGTTCTTGCTGTGACCAAAAGGCAATCTGGCCTATGGGATCATCTGTCACCTGAAAGCCAGCTGCAAGCAATGTGGCTTGTAAAAGCCAAGACTCCCGTGGAACCCTGCCACTCAAGTGAAGGGATAAGGAGGGAAAAGCGATACAAAGAGTATAAAGCTAGGTATAGTCAGGCGGTGGTGGCGCACACCTTTAATCCCTGTACTCAGAGGGCAGAGACGGGTCATCTCTGAGTTCCAGGACTACACAGAGAAACCCTGTCTCAAAAACAACAAAAAAGTATAAAGATAGATACAGAGGGAATATTGGTTGCCTTCATGGATGGCTAAGGGTTGTGTTTAGGAAGTGAGAAAGGCAGCTTTCAGGAGATAAGCAATGCACTCTATTCTGAACTGAACAGGATATATATATTCCCACTAAAGATGGTTGTGAGCCCATGTGGTTGCTGGGAATTGAATTCAGGAACATTGGAAGAGCAATCCATGCTCTGAACTACTGAGCCATCTCTCCAGCCCCCTCCTTCCATCTTCTTACCTTTGGTGAAGTGTTCGTAGTAGACATAAGCTCATTCAGCGGCTGTGCCTGCCCATTCAGGCTCTCAGCATCAGAAGCTAAAAACTAGTGCTCCCTGGCTGGCTGCTCTCCGCAGGAACTAGATTACATAGGCACAGAGGTCACCCGTAGGACTCCGAACTCACCTCAGGCTAAGCAGCAGTCAAACTCAAAGACTGGTCCAGTCCACTCACCTTGAAATCCCTCCTGAGTGTAGCTCTGCCGCTGTTACTCCTCCTCCTTAGGGACTCCATACATCACTGGGCTCTCACCTGTCCTCTGCGACCCTTTAATCCAGTTCCTCATGTTGCGGTGACCCCCAACCATGAAATTATTTTGTGGCTACTTCATAACTGTAATTTTGCTGTTATGAACCATAATGTAAATATCTGATATATGACCCCTGTTGGGGTCGTGACCTTCCACACTGCTATATAGGTCCCAAGCATGATCTATTGATGTGTATGCACAGAATTTTTGGGGGCAGCATCCACCACATCAGACCTACTGGGGGAGCTCCTTGTTGCAAGGATGGCAGTGTTCACAGAGCGGGGAGAGCTGCTGCATACAAGGCAACAGTCGGCAGCCCTGGGGTCATTTACCACTCGAAGATGCAGCTGCTTGGATCTGGTTCATGAGGCTTTCATGAGTGAAGTCAGAGTGCTTCCAGTGGCTGGAATTCCTGGAGGGGATAACAGTGACATCTTTCTTTCACAGCTTTCTTTCTTTCTTTGTTTCTTTCTTTCTTCCTTTCTTTCATCAGTCTTCCTTCCTTCCTTCCTTCCTTCCTTCCTTCCTTCCTTCCTTCCTTCCTTCCTTCCTTCCTTCCTTCCTTAATTTCTTTCTTTCTCTCTTTCTTGTTTTTCCAGACAGAATTTCTCTGTGTACCTTTAGAGCCTGTCCTGGAACTCACTCTATAGACCAGGCTGGCCTCAAACTCACAGAGATCCGCCTGCCTCTGCCTCCTGAGTGCTGGGATTTAAGGCGTGTGCCACCACCGCCCAGTCTTCAGATTTTTGATGGATATGTCATCACTTTTTCCTTTGTAGATATGCTGTCTATCAGGAAGTCAAGATGGGTGCCGATGGAGGGGGGCTCCTGCCACGCGAAATTTGAAGATAACCCTTCTACTTTATTTGTATCAAGGGCTGTGCACCCTGCACAGTTTCTCTTTAAGTGACCAAACAGTGATGTGTGGTTCTCTTCTTGGGTAGCACAGAAAGGCTTTTGTTTTGTTCATTTCTGTTTAAGATGGTGCCATTTCCTTGGGACAAGTGAGATGAGGCGAGCCA